AAGGGGACGAGGTTGGGGCTCATAACATGGTTTAATTAGTGTGTAAAACCCGGGGATTTAGGGTTTCATTCAGACTGATGGACTCGCCAAGTCTAGGATATGGACTCGCTGAGTCGCCAACTTAAACGTGCTCGAAATCCCATCTCTACTCAACGAGTCGGGCCACTGACTCGTCGAGTCCTTCTTGAAACTTGAAGAAATAATAATATTAAATAATATACCAGAATTGGGGCGTTACAGAATCGTTATTAAATTTCAAGATAGGTATGCTTCAAACAAGATCATTTAAAACTAGTTTGTTAAGATTTTTAAAATTAACATGAGATAGACGTCGATGCCATAACCAACTGAGATCCGAGGACGCTTTCGATAATAAACAAACGGATGGAATTCCCACGATAGGTATCATGTTGCGAATGAACATGTCTCGTTTTCATTTCGACTTAAGTAACACTTCCTTTGTCTATTTGTCATAGATAGTACTTCCTTGTTCATCGAAAAGAACCTGATTACCAGTGCCCACAAAAAGTTGTGAAACACTAATCAGAATGTGTTGTAAGCCTTCGACATACACTAATCTATTGACCGTAGATTTCCCATTCGTTCCTTTACCATATCCTTTGACTTTACATTTGTTGTTATTGCCAAAATTCACAACTCCAACATTGTCCAGACTTCAAAAATCTTGTAAATTCTCATTCCACTCAATTCTCATTCCTTTCATTCGAAACATCATTCTCATCACTCACATAGGTTTCCACTACAACTTAATCATGAGTATCACATACTTTTGACATAGAAGGTTGATCATTATTAACCTTTGACATTGAATCATGAAATATTTGTTTGCCTTTCGCCATCGAATTGACATTAATACAAGATAATTGAGAACAATAAACACTTTCCTCAGGTTCAATTTCACTGATATTATCATAACCATCTTCAATATCGGCGAAATTTTGTTGCGAATCAAATGTCGATTTGTCAGTCATGTTCAAAATTTTAACTTGTTCATTATTAGTGAGAGTTTCATTAACAATATGCATCAAATCATCAACATTTAAGCATTCATCAATTTTAACTATACCATATGCATATGAATCATTAGGTACTTTATCAAACTTAGAGATTTTCTTTTCGCAATCATATTAAGTAGCATCTACTTTATCTATCTCAAAAGCTAAGAAAGGTAACAATTTTCGATGTTGTTCTTTGGAAATATCCAAAGAATGATGCAATTCAGTAAGCTTAGCGTATAGACGTTTAGCAATATTACAGTAGATATTTCTTTGTTTAACCAATAAAATATTATCATTCCTAATATAATCTCTATCTATTGTAATATTTTTTAGTTGAATCTCTAATTTCTCTATCATACTCTTCTTAACTTCAATTTCATTTCGAACATCATATAGTAATGATTTCGACCGTTCAACTTCTCTACTCATGGGAATAAAGATGCCATGAATATAAGAAAGAATATCATCAAATTTTGATATAATTTTATGATATTAATTTGAAGGAATATTAGAAGATTCAAGAACGTTACGTACCTTAGCCTTCATTAAATCCTTTTCAGATCCAGTCGACACAAAGCATCTTCCTGTTATCTTCTCATCATCCGAACCTTCCTCTTCGAATTGAGCATACATTGCTCCATGGGTGCGATTCCTCATTTCCTTATCATCTGACCCCGAAGACCAGATTTGATACATTCTATCATTCTCATCTCCTCCCTTCACCATCAATGAAAGTCTTTTGGTTCGTACCTTCAATTCATGAATCTTCCCAACTTAGTATGCTTCATATTTCACTCTCACTTTCTTCTCTTCCTTCTTTCGTAGCTTGCAATCCTTAGCCGAGTGATTTGAACCATTGTAGTAATTGCAATGATAGTCCGGATCTCCTTTGAGCTTCATTTGTTTCTTCTTAATCACATTCTTCACTTCCTTTTTCTCCTCTTTCAACTCTACATTTGCACCTTTTCCTATTGAGCTACTACCCTTGAAATCATTGTTGTTCTTGTACTTCGAATTGAATGGATTTTTGAAGAATTTATTCACTTAATTATTCGAATATTAAGTCACTGATTCATCTTTAGAATTGAACGTAATTCCTTCTTTTTTCAGGTCATCTTGATCAATAGATTCGACTTCAGAGTCCTTGCCAGTCACTTTCGACATCACAGCCAAAGGTCTACCTAAGCTCAACTTTCCTTCTTTAGAAATTCCGTTTATCTCACATTTAGTGGCCTTAAGAACATTAAACAAATCAGCCAACGAATAACCATCAAACCTCAATTAAGTTTTGATCATCAGACTAATGTTCCCTCATTCCTTTCACAATCCCATCAGAAAAGTTAAATTGTATTGCTAAGTCGAACGAGTTACACCATAAAGAGTACACTTGAATATTAAGTCGTTCAATAGATCGTAATATAACTTGATAGTTTCGTTATCTTTCTGCTTGAACTCGCCTAATTCCAACAAACATTGCTTCACATAGCTTTTTCTTTGTTTTCTCATTGCCTTGATACTTTTCTTTCAAAGTGTCCCAAATCTCCTTTGCTATCTTGCAACTTCATACATAGTTGTAAACTACTGGATGAAGAGCACCACATAGTACACAAAGGCATTTCTTGTCATTTGCTTCCTATTTATTCTCTTGTGTGTTCATATCAGCATTTGAACCTACAGTTCCAACTTCTGTAGCCATACCAGGACGATAGTTTCCAATTTTGATGCATCTCCAAATATCTTCATCTATTCCTTTGAGATAGTCCTCCATTCGATCAGCCCACTGCTCGTAATATTCAAGAATGAGCATTGGAATCTTCGTAGATAATCCAAGCAAGTGAGAGAAACTCCATATCGTGTTCATGTTGAAATTCTCCATTATTGTATGGAAAACCTTGGTTTTTGATTTCAAAAAGTGATTTGAAAGAAGAATCAAACAGAAAATGATCAATAATCACTAGATCTCACAAACAGAGTGCATAATCGAAACAAAACAACCAATCGAAACAAGTTTTCTGAATCACTATTACACAATACTTTGAATTGAAAAGAGCGATTCAAAAATACTGAAAAACATGATAAAAATGAGACTGGTTGAATGAATTTTGCTTGGATACCAATTGATGTGAGTAAGATTCGAGTACATGATATGAAATTGATAACAGAAATCAGAAAGAACTCAAGTAAATAAGCTATGATTGGCTCATTTATGTCTGCAAAACAAGTACAAGGTTTGAGAGCGTTTTACAATCAATAACAGCCAAAAAGTTACTCTTTCCCTAATACTGACCCTATTTATAGGGTGTTATAGACTCACAAAAAATACAAGGACAAGCCATTAATAACGAATTCGAAAGTGCCAACTAAATACATACAATGTCGAAATCATAGATTTCGCACCCTAACACACTAAATGAGATTCAACTTCTCACTATCTACATTTCGAACCCTACAATTACAATGTAATTAATAAACAAAAACTCCCAATTGACCTTAACTCAATTTGTCTATCCCTATGTCCCCTTCATATTAAATCAACATCGTCCTATATTGTTGCAGTTTATGGTGACCTGCCTTCTTTTAATCAAGAAGTTTTAACAAGATAAATGCAATACCCTAAGTCATATATCCCATTCGTCCGGAAACTTTCTAACACTTATACCAAAAATTAAACCTAGATAAAAATCAAAAGTTACTAAAGCATTATAATATGCCTGGAAGGGCATTAGTAAACCCAAATCAAACTTTCCCTTAAAACATGACATGGATATACCATCTATGGTGACAATCTATCTTATGGTTGATGTGCCCCAAGTATGAACTCCAGATAATGGAAGGTAAATGTACTGCTTCATGGCTCGATAGCTAAAATTGTGAGACTTGAATGCATAAGCAATTCATAAGTTGTTGTTCGGGAATTTTTCCCGTGTTAACACTTTGATGCTAAAGTTAGAACTACTTGATCGACAATTGATAATTCTCTCTATAAATAGTGTATTGAGAGCCTACCTTATCATTTCTTTATAGCTACTATTTATATTCGAGTTATTGGGAATTGTTGCTTTCCCTTGCTATGTAGGATTTAGCTTTGTTGAATTTATTAATCAGCAGATAGAAGGTACAAATTCATGCACTTGTTTATTGTTACTAGTTATTTCTTGTAATCATAGGTACTATCATTAATCAAGTATATTACAGCCTGTTTGCTTGTTTGTTCCAACTCTTAGCACCTTTCTTAATTTCATGTATTAGTCACTGATATGAAGATCAGATTATTCTTTCGGGCGATTTAACTTTTCGGTCATCAGGGGCGATAGGATCGGTTCATCTGTTCGGTGTATCCCTGTAATCTCTCTTGGTTCGGTCATCGGGTATCATTTGGAGATTCTTCTAAATAAGGATATATGTGTAATACGGGTGCATATATATCTTATTAAGCCCCCTAGTTTGGGGCATTACTTTGTTCCAAAATAATGGTTCAAACTTAATGATTTAGCTTGGTATGTATGAGGAGCAAAAAATAACAATCACCTGAATTTAATTCTAAGAAGATTGTTTGACGGTTCAAACTCCCATCATTTCACTATAGCTATAATTGTCCGTTTAATTTTTTTACATTAAAAGGGTGTTACAGTCTCAAACTTCTCCATAAATACTCCTTTTGATTCTTCCTTAACCGTTAGTTCCTCTTCTCTTTGTGTTTATTGATTTCTCTACTTTTCTGTCTAAAACGGTCATGTCTAAAAATAATTAGAATTTCTACCAACATTTAACTTTTTGAAGATTGTGATAGATCACTATGGGCTTCATATTGCTCAAGTTACCCTAAATGGGTTTCGTTAAATATTTCAAGGAACTCAACGTTATTCCAACTTTGACCTTTCCCATTAATTATATATGATGATGGCCAGTGGTAATTGGGTATCATTCTCCCTACACCATGGATTAAACAACATATATAACGAGCTGCCAAGTTCTATTAAAATGTGGAAAGAGGAATTTTTCTTTGTACACTATTCTGCATTCTCAAGGTTAATTAAATTTGGAGATTCCATAGAAACAGGCCTTGAACCTGTCCCTGATTCGACCAACAAAGAAAGGGATATCGTTGAGTACCTATCTGCTAATTTTGTGAAGTGGTTCAGCCCGGATGAAACAATGTTATGGATGGATGGGTTAACTTCTTATTGGAATAAACTAGGAAAGCAACAGGTGCAAAAAGTAGCAGGAAAATTTGTTAATATTTTGGATCGCTTCATAGGAAGTGGCTTGATGGATCTACTCAATTTACTAAGGATCCGCTAGTTCTTCTATATGCTTCCCCAACTAAAGATTATCCTATTAGGTCAGAGTCTAGTCTGGATTCTTGTCTGAATGTGCCGAATAATGATCCCATCATGGCTGATTGATGAAAAGGCCTGAAAAAAATCCTTGAAATATAGCGGGAAACCCCTGTCTTCCTTCACCATATTATCTATTAAGGGCCTCGCTTCAACGAAAAGGAAGGTGGGATTTGAGAATGATAAAATCGTGTCTGTGGAGGGATGATGAGTTAAACTTATAAAGTAATTGATTTCTACCCACCAAAGTGTTGGATATCCGTACATTTGGTATATAACAAGGTTTGTGTTTCCAAGAGTCCTAATTCAAAAGCATATAGTGAAATTATTGCTCATGTTTATATGGTCGACTTGTCAGATCTGATGAAGCTACATGAGTGTCCCATCACATTTGATCCGGAGTTAGTGAATACCGGACAACTTCATTCTAAACGCATCTCTCCCCTTGTTATTACCAAAAATGTAACGACCCAGATTTATATATATCAAATCTATGGGAATTATCAGAGTTTAATCTAACAAGTTCAAAATTCTACTATAATTAAAACCTTTACTTCCCAGGAACAATCACAGTTTTACAATAAATATCTATATATAAATTGAAACAAGGAAAATACAAAAGTAGCATCTTACTATCTATTTCTTCATTGTGCTCTTGTTCTCTTCTGGTACCACGACTACTACTACCCGAAACCTGCAAAACATAAAACATCTAAAACATCGTACACAAATTGTCTAGTGAGGTATTCTTCTATCTTTTCTTATCTTTCATATTTCTTGATATTTCTCATACCATGCCACCAATATCTTTCTCTTAATACCATACACCACCATTCTTTTCATTCGCCTATCTCTTCCATATTTCTTTCTTTCTTTCATACCATACATTGCTATCTTTTCTTTATTTATCTGTCTCTTGCTCTGTCATGTACTCTGTTTATCATACTATTCTCTTAGCCTCTTAACATGATATTCTCATACTCTGCACAGACTCTATCTTTGTCTCTATCTCTATCTCTTCTCTGCTCTTCTCGATCTCTTCTCAATGCTTTAACTCTTAGCAATGCCTTCACATTCTTTTATTACTGTTCATCTCTCTCTATTCTTAACTCTAATGCCTCAACATTCTTTCCTCATGTATACCTAATAGTTACATCTCATAGTCTAATCTTACCTATACTTTAAGGGGGAAAACATCCCATTACACTACCATGTATTCTTATACGATCTTACATTACCATGTATTCTTATCTGATCTTACCTCTTTCTTTCTCTCTCTCTCTCTCTCTCTCTCTTTCTTTCTCTCTCTCTCTATCTCTCTCTCTCTCTCTCTGTCTCTTTCTCTTCTGATCCTTCGCGTATCCTAAATCTTACCTTTTACGATTGAATCCATCATAGATTCCTTACTCTTAGTCACTCATGGTTTAAATCTAATTTTTTACAAAGAAGACTCTTATCTTGTTCCTCTTATGGAACCTTTTCTATCTTTTTTAACCATACACAATTTGGATTCCCGCAAGAATCATTTATATATATCCTAAAAGGGAATCATCATATCATTCCCCATAGGGACATAATCTCATTCCCAAAGGAATCATACTCTTTATTCCTACATGTACCATACTCTTGCTCCTGAAGGAACCATACCCGTATTCCCGAAGGATTCATTCTCTTGTACCTATACGAACAATACTTTATTCCCGAAACAATCATACTCTTGTCCCTGTATGAACCTCTATCTCTTGTCCCTGAAGGAACCATCATTCTCTACATCTCTATCATTGGTATGTGACTCAACACATAACACATGTCCCCTGGACAATCTATTTCTTTGTCTCATCAAGTGTCCATCTAATCTTTCTTTACTACTACTTAACACATGAAGTACTTAATCCATATCTATGTTTAATAACATATTGTCTTTCTACAATACTATTAATATCTAGACATACTTACATACTCTTATGATTATGTTGCATTTAATCATCTTCTAATTCTTTCTTCTATCTCTAAGGTATTTAACAAATACCCTTTTTAACTAAACCCACATACTCTTGTATACATATATGCTTTGCTACATGTATCATGCATATACCTCTTACATACTCTTAATATGTGTACATGCTCTAATTCATGTTCTTACGCACATATTCTTCATCTATCTTCATCTCATTATTTGGGGATAGTCTCTTAGTGCCCAAGGTCCAACACGCACGCATATATATATATATATATATATATATATATATATATATATATGATCATAATATAAAAAGATTGAGAGAGAATGAGAGAGAGAGAGAGAGAGTAATAACTCACCTTGTAAATTAGTGAAGACTAACTATCTTATTCTCATATATTCTGCCATTGATGCATCTTGATCCCCCTTCTTTGCTTTTAGGCCTATTCATGCACATGCACAAGTATCTGAATACTTGTCTTAACCTATTAAGGGCTTAATGACTCTTAAGCTCAAAATGACCACTTAATGGATCAAAACTCTTTCTTTTCATTCTCTATCTCTTAATCCAATATAGTTAAAGAATTAAGCATCCCATAATACCTAATTCATCATAATCTACTCTAATGCATCAATTAATATTCTAATTAGTTAGGGTTTTAAACCCTAACTTCACATACATAGGTTTCACCATGGTAATCACTTTCTAAGCTTTATTAAAGCATCTAAACACTATCATTAACATCATAATCAAGCTTTAGGTTTATCAGTTCAACCAATCTACTCTAATCAAACATTTCACTAAAATCGAGAAATCTTAGCATAATGGAGAGAGGATGAAAGTATTTATCAAGCTCCATTCGTAACACTCCAAAAATCATAAAAATTAAAAAAACAACAACAACAACAACAACAACAACGAATATCAATAATTGTTTACAAAATACCATTGTTTCAAAGGTGAAGTCATAATAGAGTGTCCCAAAAATCAATATCATGAAAATTGGAAGATGTGCACGATCAGGTCTTCGCTTTCCTATGATCCCCTGAAGTATCTGAAACAATAAACTGAAACTATAAGACAAAGCTTAGTAAGTTCCCCCCAAAGTACCATCAAATAACATATAATATACATAGATTTAGCATGTTGGGTCCACAATCTCCTGGTTAGATTACCTCAGACCACAACCTCCTAATTGGATTGTCTTGCATACCCCAGACTAGGTCCACAACCTTCCAATTGGATTACTCTAGCCCACAACCTCCCGGTTGGAATGCCCCAGTCTGTTAACTGACAGCACAAAGCAGTAGTCTCAACTCACATGACATATCAACATATAATAGACAACAAACATACTCAACAAACAGATAATCATACAACCAATAATCACAGGTAGTCCTACAGGTCTACCGGTCTAACACCTATTAGCAACTATCAAGGTCATACAAGTCTATCATGCGCTCAACATATCAATAAACAATGTGAAACAAATTATCAACCAATGGGTCGTCCATGGTGTCTTCGAACTACAAGTATGGTAAGGAAAACTCACCTCTCAGTATGAAAAGATCTCTAATAGAACACAATTCTTAATGACCACTCAACTGGTCACCTAAACACCAAATAACGACCACTCTCAAATACCACTCAAATGACCTAAAATACCCTTAGGTAAAACTTGGTAAATTTCAAAAAGTCAAAATTCAAACTTTGGTCAACACAACTAAGTACGTTGGGTATACCCAACCTGAACGCAGGGCGTACTCAGCCCTTGACCAAAATCGTGAGGTTGACCTAGCACGCCCAACGTACCAATCTGTACGCCCAACGTACCAATCTGTACGCCCAATGTATGATGCCTTCCAGTAATCCTTCTATTAAGAGCTTATTCCCTTAATCCTTTTCGCCCATTTCTCCGATCTGACCGTAAACTAACGTCCTTCACCATAAAGTTTCCGACTTTATGGTGTTGCATGGCTAACAAATGCCTAGGAGTTAAAACCCCAACTTCTTAAACCATTAAGATACCTTAAAACTTGCATGGTGTGAAAGGAAGGACTAAGAAAGTGCCCTAAAAAATCCATAAAGGACAACTCATTGGGTCTAGGGTAGCTCATATACCCAAAAGAACCAAGAATATGGGGGCTAATAAGCACAAACTTTTAACATAAATAAGATATAGTGATATTATCATCAAATTTAGAACTTTATACCTCAAAATGAATCTTGGAGGTGAGGTGATCCTTGATTTATATATTCTTGATCTTCCAAGTTGGCGCTTCACTATTCTTCTTGCTTCAAAAGCACCACAAACACACACTTTCAAGCTCAAAGGAACACACACAATAGATTAGGGTTGCAATGGACAAAATGAGGGTTGGAGGTTGGTGAGGAGTGAGAATTGGAGAGCTAATGATGTTTATATAGATTCCAAACCCTAAAAATTAGGCCTTGTGGATCAGGCACATACGCCCAACGTATGCGAGCTCATCCCCAAAATTACAAAAATGCTACTATGGTCCATTTTGATACATTTTCCATGCATAAGGGCTAAAATGCAGTTAATCTTCATACTTAGGGTTAAGATGGAAAATACCTCATCTTCGGAAGGATACACCATCTCTAGTTTCTTTTTCCCACATTCCAACAACAAAATTGCCAACATTTAGCAATCAATCAATTTGGGGCGTTTTGATTTGGAAATGAGGTTGTAAAAAGTTAGAACTTGTCTTAAACTCTCAAATTGCACCGAAGTTCCTTACTTAGCACAAATCGGAAACCACTTTGACCTCGTTCAATGGCCGTGTAAATACTTGCCACGTCGTGGCATTCTACTTGTCACACAGTTGTGCTCTTCGTCCATTAGCAACCTAATTTGGCCACCATGCCACCCATATACCGCACTGTGGGGAAAAGGTCCAGACATAGTCTTCTTTATAAAAGAGAAATGACATCTTACTATAAAAGAGTAGGTCTTGGAAAGCTTTTCACCAAAAAGATGATG